CTGTTGTGATTGGTCACAGCTATCACATGACACTGGCAACGGGCCGGTGTAGTGATATGTCATTGGCTGTGTCCCGTGAACAGAGCCGGTGACAGATCTCACCGCTACACGGCCCTGCAGCCTCTTGAGCGGCATGTTTTGACAGGACGTCATTTGATGCCCAGTTACAATGGCGCGTGTCCCGGCCAGCTGTCAATCTGCTATAGGCCGGGTAGGAAGGTGTTAAAAACATATATTTTACAATGCAGTTGGCCAGAATCCACTAGTGAGGAGTTGAAAAAAGATCTCAGGGCGTGAACTGGAGCATGAAAAGAAAAGAACAGAGAGAGCCAAATGGGGAAGAGGGGATGTGGGGAGGGGAAGGAGAGGGAAGGGGGGGAGGGAAACTGAGAATCACCAAGTATTATACCGTAAGGCCCTGCGCCTCCATCCACCCAGCCCATAGTCTATCAAATTTAGCCGGACAGTTACGGCTCATATAATTACGTTTATACAGAGGAAGTGCACCATTAATTGCCGACTTCCAACCCGAGATGGTCTGTAACCATGTATTTTTACAACAGCCACACTGAACAAGTGTTTTTTACTTTGTTGTTTCATATTTATTGTTCTATATCATTCTAATTTACAGCATCAGAAAGATACATATAACTGATATAACGTGAACTTTTTGTATACCAGGGCCATTACACTCAGTTTGTCACCCTTAAATATTTCCCTCACTGTTTTGTAACCCTGAAGATGGGGGAGAAACTGGAAATGCATTAGATGCAGGGGTGGACTGACAACTCATGGGGCCCCCAGGCAATAGGGGATCATGGGGCCCCTGTGTCCTTGCCCAAACTCAAAAAAGCCTATGAAAAAGGTACCAGGGGCATCTCATGGGGCTCCCTACTGACCCCGGGCCTTTGGGCAGTGCCAAATGGTCAGTCCACCCCTGATTAGATGCTTAGCCACACACATATTATTTCCTAGTAAAGCTATGATAAATTCATAACTGGAAATTTTAAAGAAGATTTTAGATGCACAACACTCCCTCCCTTATAGTTGTCTCTATGGTGTGCCGTATTAGTGACTACCCCTCCCCTCTCACTTTCACGGTAATATAGCCCAACTTTTAAAGCACAGCGTAGTGTGTTCCAACCACATGGTCTACTAGCTAAAGACCAAGATAGATGGCACAATTTTGAGTAAATACAGTCAGATCTGGAGAATGTCTTGGGGGAATCAAGATGTGTTTTATAAGTTTCAAGTTTATAAGGTGGTGGAATGTGTGCGTTTGGATTAGCATAGGTTAATGTGGACCCTCGGTTAGTATCCTTGGTGTAATCAACATTGAATGAGGAAAGAAAAAACAGAGGGCGCACAGGCCTAGTGCATTACCATAAAAAATGTTTAATAAAAATTAAAGTATGTGTTGTACTCACAAAAGACAATATAGTCAAGGCACATCATAAAGAACAGCTGGGTCAACACCGCGCTGAGTAACAGTCCGCAATGGGGAGTGTAGACATCCAATAGGCAGACGCGTTTGGAGGGCTTGCCTTTTCCTCAGAGCCACAACACCGCGCTGAGTAACAGTCTGCAATGGGGAGTGTAGACATCCAATAGGCTGACACGTTTCGAGGACTTGCCTTTTCCTCAGAGCCACAACACCGCGCTGAGTAACAGTCTGCAATGGGGAGTGTAGACATCCAATAGGCTGACACTTTCGAGGACTTGCCTCTTCCTCAGAGCCACAACACTGCGCTGAGTAAAAGTCCGCAATGGGAAGTGTAGACATCCAATAGGCTGACGCGTTTCGAGGACTTGCCTCTTCCTCAGAGCCACAACACCGCGCTGAGTAACAGTCCGCAATGGGGAGTGTAGACATCCAATAGGCTGACACTTTCGAGGACTTGCCTGTTCCTCAGAGCCACAACACCGCGCTGAGTAAAAGTCCGCAATGGGGAGTGCAGACATCCAATAGGCTGACGCGTTTCGAGGACTTGCCTCTTGCTCAGAGCCACTCAGTGGCTCTGAGGAAGAGGCAAGTCCTCCAAACGCGTCAGCCTATTGGATGTCTACACTCCCCATTGCGGACTGTTACTCAGCGTGGTGTTGACCCAGCTGTTCTTTATGATGTACCTTGACTATATTGTCATTTGTGAGTACAACACCTACTTTAATTTTTATTAAACATTTTTTATGGTAATGCACTAGGACTGTGCACCCTCTGTTTTTTCTTTCCCCATTCAGTATATTTGGATTCCCCCGGTCTATTTGAGGGCAGCAAGGTGTGAATGTTCCAGGACATTCTTAATGTGGTTGTAGCATCGAGTCCATCCCCAAGCGCAGGAGCATTTGTGTTTGCTGGTTCTTTGTATTCAACATTGACCCTTACTTAATTATCCCACTTTCACTATGAATTACCCTCACTATCTAAACAGAAACACATGGTATGCTTACACCCTGACTAGGCAAAACTAGAAAGAGCAATAGAGCACAATAGGACGTGAACCACCACAAGGCAATAAACATGAAAGCTGCTTTGGATTGTCCATTATTTTTAAGAACTCCCTTTTGTTCTGTTATAGATTGTGAATCACATTTATGATTGATTTCACCTCACTTCTGTTTCAGGAGACCCATATAATGTTCAAATCAACCAGAAAAGCTTTTATAATCATTTTGTGTTGTACAGTTACCGTGGTGTTTAGCTACATTGTTCACCTAATCTTCAGTCAGGTAGGTTCCTTGTCATAGACCTTACACTTTATATTGTGTCTATGGATGTGGCTAAGAGTGTAACAGTAGAAATGTTGACCATTTCCCATCAGCTTTTCAACGTTCACTTTCACAATGTAAGCAATGATCTGTTATCTGCCAGTGGAAAAATGAAATACATTGCTACAACAATGGAAAACAAAAACATCGACCAACAAATAAACAAGATATTGACTATAATAAACAGTACAATCCCCCAAAAGGATACTATGTACTTAGATGAAACCACCAGTGCACTGCATAGCATAGCAATAATATGGAACTCTAAACCTAAATATTGTGTTGGAGACACCTTGATTGTTCAGGTTGAGATGTTCAATTTTTTGGGAAAAAAAGAAGACTTATGGAGGAGACTTTCTAAGAGCCAGGATCTTTTCAGCAAAGCTGGGAGCTGGAGCTTCTGGGAGAATCGAGGACTTCAATAACGGAACTTACAATATTTATTTTACATTATTTTGGAAAGGAGAAGTACAAATATCCATTCTCCTAGTGCATCCCAGTGAAGGGGTATCTCTTTTGTGGAAAGCCAGGAATATGGGATCCAGTTATATCAGCTACAAAGGAAAATTTCTTAATAAATACCAAGAAGTATATACAGAATGTGGATTTTACTTGAATTCCCAAAAAGAAAAATGTAAATATGTGGACAGGAAATATAGAGAAGTTTTCTACTGTATCAAGTTACCAACAATTCCTTGCGAGGCTTTCATTTCATTAAAAAGTGAGAACACGCCTTATACATACCTCAGCGATGTGAACAAAACACTTTTTTTCACGTAAGTACTTCCTAAGATCACTTTTTATTTCTGGGGTAGTTTGAATTTTAGTTGGTTAAGTCCCATACCTGTTTATACAAGATGTTTCTGGAAATTAAGATATATTTATGTTTTGAAAGGAGAATCATTAAAAGAAAAATTCAATTTCAGACTGTTTTGTGTAAGGCTGAAAACTAGGCAGTTGAGAATTCAAACTAACCATGTGGTAAAAAAAACCAAAACATAATGAGGACTTAATTAAAGTGAATCTGTGACCAAGCTATCGACATTGAAATACTTACATATGGTATTCCCACCAAGCAGTAAATGAGTTTAAAGCGGAGTTCCACTCAAAAGCTCCACTTATTTGCCTCCACTGCCATATTTGGCACCTTTTGGGGGGGAGCGGGTACCGATTCCATTTCCGGCTCAGTTCGCTGCGCCAATGTTTGGCCTTCTCCTTCCTCCTGCAGTCTCCTGGAAGCTTTCACAGGTCCCAGAAGACTGCCTGACCAATCAGGAGGCACAGCGCGACTCACACATGTGCAGTGGGCTCTAGGTTGTGAAGCCACCAGCTGTCACAGTCTGGTGCCCACAGTTGAAATGCCAGCGCCCTGGAGGAGAGAGGGCGGTAAGTGGGACAGGTAAGTGTGTGTTTCTTAAAAGTCAGGAGCTACAGTTTTTGTAGCTGCTGACTTTTAATAAACAAAAGCGTCTGGAACTCTGCTTTAAACAAGTCATCACTAACCTCTGTAGCTGCAGGCACTCTGGAGCAATTCACAACAAAATGAATGATGTCTTGAGGACTTATCTCTCATCACCCTAGTCCCCCTAACCCTGCTCCCCGAGTACCTGTTTGCCTTTACAATAGACATTGGAAAGCTGCTGGCTCACTGCCAAGACAGGGGTGGAGTTGAGTCAATCTACTAGAAGAATCCCTAGAATTTCAGCACTTCTGTTGTGAAATTTAAGGATTACTTGCTCCACAGAGACTGTAGCTACAGAGGTCAGTAAGGGCTTTTTTTAACCATTTGCCCTCCAGATTATTTACCCCCCTTCCTGACCAGGCCATTTTTTGCAATATGCCGCTCTGTTATTTTAACTGTCAATTGCACAGTCATGCAGCGCTGTACATATATGAAATTTATGCCTTTTTCCCCCACAAATAGAGCTTTCGTTTGGTGGTATTTGATTACCTCAGCGGTTTTTATTTTTTTTGCACTATAAACAAAAAAGACCGAAAATTTTGAAAAAAAACCCCAATATTTTTGACTTTTTGCTATTAAACTTGTCCAGTAAAAAAATGTAAAAAATCAAATTTTGTCATAAATTTAGGCTAAAATGTATTCTGCTTCATAACTTTGCTAAAAGAAATCCCAAAACGTGTAAATTCATTGGTTTCCATGAAAGTTATAGTGTCTACATATGGTGGTATATATACTGGAATTCAAATTTTTATTATACTCATAATGGCGGCGATCAGCGACTTATAGCGGGACTACGGCGAGCATTCTGATGCTGGGTGGGAACTGACTTGGTGTCACTGACATCCCCAGTGACACCAATACAGTGATCAGTGCTAATAAAACGCGCTGATACTACTAATGACACTGGGCAGGAAGGGGTTAACATCTGGGGCGATCAAAGGGTTAACTGTGTGCTGTGTTATGTTTACTACGGAGCAGGGGTGGACTGACAACTCATGGGGCCCCCGGGCAATAAGGGATCATGGGGCCCCTGTGTCCTCGCTCACATTCAAACCACACCTAAAAAAGCCTATGAAAGGTACCAGGGGCATCTCATGGGGCCCTCTAATGACCTTGGGCCCTCGGGCAGTGCCAGAGTGCCAAAATGGTCAGTCCACCCCTGCTACGGAGACATGTTGCTTTGTATTTCTCTGAAATACAAAGCAGTATGTCCTTGCTGACAGGAGAGAGACCTGTGTTGTTTACACACAGGTCTCTCCCCTGTCAGCTTTACCTGACGATCGGCAAGTACCAGACGGGAATTGCCGGCCAGGACCCGGTGATTGACATCCCTAGCCGCCAATGGTGGCGGGGGCAGGACGGTTAGGGATGTCAATCACTGGGTCCTGGCCTGCGATTCCAAGCCAGCACTTGCCAATAGTCGGGTAAAGATGGCAGGGGAGAGACCTGTGTGTAAACAACACAGATCTCTCGCCTGTCAGTAAGGACATGCTGCTTTGCATTTCCTACCTGGAAATGCAAATCACACATATATCTACCATAGGGCGGCGGGCAAGTGGTTAAAGTTAATTTGTGCCTTGAAGAAAATATTTAAATAAGTGAATGGCCATAGCCTTGCCAAAGGTTCACTTTAAAAATTACATCTTAAAATGATTACCAGATCAAGATACCTGATGCTGTATGCAATGTTAAAGTAACACCAATGGTTTAAAAAAAGAAAAGCCTATTCGAGTGTATATTCGTAAGTCATACCCTCCCCCAAATCTCCAAATTCCCCTTTTTTTTTTGCTTCTGTGATCTGACTTCCTGTTAGAGGGTGGATGCATTCATCCCTTATAGGCTCATAGTACGTCACACCATTGGAAAGTGCTTCGGCACTTTCTATTAAAAGAAAAAACCACAGAAGAATATATGTATTTCTGTACATGTAGACTCAAATTGGATTGAACTTTTCTGTAAAAGTCTAGTTTGGCTCTTGGTAAAGCCAGTCATATCAATATAAGACCTACTGTATTAGATGACCTGATTGATAGAAAGTAAAATGACCAAGTTTGAAGGTAATTTGCTCCTGTATTTCCATCAAATGCTCAGCTTGACATGTCTGCATGAAGTCACAGTGAATAGCATAGTAACTGACAGGTGGCTCTTTGGCAGGTGGTCTCTGTAGGGAGATCAGAACTTTTCCCCTTCCATAGGCTCAGGTATATTGTCCTTCCATGTAAAGATAGGCTTGAGATGAGGTTGCAGAGTTAAGTTGGCCATACACTAGTAGAATGTTGCTGGAAATGTTTCATCCTAATGTTTCATTTCTAATTATTAGTGGGGTCAAGTTGGCAGTCCTTTTTGGACCACAGTGATGAGAAAATTTGCGAAACAGGACAGAATTTATTTATTCAAATGAGTGAATTTCCAACAGTGTATGCGATTTTCATTCAGTAAATTCCATATGAAAATCTACTAGTGTACAGCCATCTTTAGTTTCTGAGGCTTTTGATGGTTTTACACAAAGCTAACAAGGGGTAATCAATTGAAAAGTGCCTCCAAAAGAGAATACCAGTTTTTAAAGCATTTCACCCCAAATTGTTTTGAGTGTGCACCAGGTGGTTAAAGTGTACGTAAAGCCGAAAACGTTTTTAGTTTTCGAAAGAGTAAGGGATTTTTAATACCCCATTGTGTTTTTTTTTTAAGTCTATGTACCTTCAGAAAGATTTCCTTTCAATTCCTCTCTTAGAGACAAAATGGGAAGTAGAAGGAAATCTGTCCAAAGCAAGGGGAAATTCCCTTAGACAGTTGTCACCTGAACAAGTATCCCCGTTGGAGGATTTCCCTTCACCTCCTGTTTCTATGTCAACCCTAAAATATTGGATTTCATGTTCTGTCCAGAGTCAGTAGTCACTAAAACAAATAGAGAGGGTGAATAGACCAGTACAAAGACACAACAAAAACCAAGGGATGCAAAAAAGAAACAAGGCACTAGATTGGTTGTACTATTCAGTCTTGAGACTCTATGAGGCTTTTGAGGTCTATTTTTAAGTTGCTCTTCAGGAAGTAAAGGCCAGAGGTCAGCATGTACAGTATACACTGAGTAGCGTAGAAACTGGTGTGCAGGGAAGATAGTGTCAAACACGTTACATAAAGTATAAAAGATAAAAAGTATAATAGTATATCATCATTTTCAGTTAACCACTAGCCTACCGGGCACTTGTACACCCTTCCAGCCCAGGCCAATTTTGAGCTTTTCAGCGCTGTCGCACTTTGAATGACAATTGCGCGGTCATGCAACATTGTACCCATATGACATTTTTATAATTTTTTCACACACATAGAGCTTTCTTTTGGTGGTATTTATTCCACTGGGTGTTTTATTTTTTGCGCTATAAACAAAAAAATAGCAAAAAAAAAAAAGTTTTTCTTTGTTTCTAATATAAAATTTTGTAAACAGGTAATTTTTCTCCTTCACTGATGTGCGTTGATGAGGCTGCACTGATAGGCAGATCTAATAGGCAGCACTGATAGGCGGCACTGATGAGCTGGCACTGATTATGGGAACTGCTGGGCACTGACTGGCGGCACTGCTGGGCACTGACTGGCGGCACTGCTGGGCACTAGTGGGTGGCACTGGTGGGCACTGATGGGCACAGGTGGGTGGCACTGATGGGCACAGGTGGGTGTCACTGCTGGGCACTTGTGGGTGGCACTGGTGGGTAGCACTGCTGGGCATCAAACATCAGGGCACTGATCATTGGTGCCGATCCCTCCTGTGACAACTGCCGGTTCTTGGCAGTATTTTTCTCACGCAGCCTGAAAAGTCTGGTCATCCGGCTGTATGACAGCTGAGATGAGGAAGTGGACACCAACAAGATGATGGAAGGCTTCTGTGGGTTGCTGAGCAGGCCGGAAGTGATGTTGTTGGGATGTCAGGGGGCAGAGCTAAGCATTTCATTTCAGGGCAGCCCAAGCCTCTTTATCAAGCAAAGTCATGTTTGACAGACTGTACCACAAAGACCATGGTCTCCACTGCAGCAGCACAGCTTGGTTGGTCAATGAAGGAGAGGCATCATGCTGTAACTCTGATTTTGCCTCCCGTCAGCATGTTCCCTGTGAGCACTTCTGCAGTAGAGCCCCAAGTGCTAGTCCTTCCTCCATCAGTATGAATGTTATTAGTAGAGAATAACTGGATACTGGCATTAAAAATCCTGACCAACCATCTCATTTAACATATAAGATTAAAGTGGTATTAAACCCGAAAACCAAACCAAAAAATTTATATATTGCAGTATACCGATTCTTAAATGTGGTGGCTGCATTTGTTTTCTTTGTTTGTTTATTTTCAACTGGGAGCTTGCCTGTAACATGCTTTCTGTCTTAGGGTAGCTCCACTTTGACTGGAGGAGCAACGTAGCCAACCTTGGACAGCAGCATTGTCAGTCTTGGGGGAGGAGAGTGGTAGACTAGGAGATTTAGATGGACTAAAGTTGAACTTTTTGTTTCCATTTGGTATAAAGGTTTTACATAACTTTATAGAAGTTGACTACTAGAGGAACCCCTAGGCTTTTGTTCACATGATCTCAGTAGAAGAGAAGAATCAGATCCCTAAAGCTGGCCATACACAAATGGATTTCCTTTGTTCAGTATGTTCCCATCTATCAGAACCCAAACAGTGCCTGAAGTTGACTGGCTAGAGGCGCTGTTTGGCCAACAATTTTCGGCCTGGAAAGGCCACCTTTTTTTTAGAATTTTGTCCAATTTATAGTAGGTTTATTTTTTTGAGATTTTATCATCAGTGGTCACCATCACTGTGCTGGGCTTTGTGAAAGGCATAGCAGAATGGGGTGGGGATAGTGGAGGCAAAACTCCGGAATTGATGTCCTTCATAGACTCCATTCTGATCCAATAGAGTGCCAAAAGTAATTTAAATATCAGCATATTAGCGCTTAGAAAAGTTCTGATTTAATAATAAAATTTACTTTTAATGTGTGAGAAATTAGCAAAAAAAATGAGCTATGCCTGCATTCGAGCTGTAATATTTTTATATATCTTCTGCTGCTTTTTCTCTGGACTGTGCAATTGTATTGATATGTGGTTGTTACTGAAGATAACCTATATTTATGCATTTTTTCATCATGCTTTCACATGTTTACCTTAAAGGAAGGGTTCACTTTAGATCTCAGTCTTCCTAAACCTCCACCCCTTGTTCCCAAGCCCCATAACCCATTGCAAACTAAGCCTCCTCCCCCACCCAAGTTCCCATTTACCTATTTCCGAGAGCAGCAGCTGCCTCGGTTGAAGTGGTTATAAAGCCTACAAAACACCAAACTTCAAGAAAAATATGTTTAGGTGGTAGTATCCCCCCCCCCCACCTTATACTTACCTGAACCTTCAATCGATCCAGCGCTCTGAGCATCTGCAGCTCTACTCTTCCCTTCCTTCCTGGTCTCACAGGCTTTGCTGAAGCAGAAGGAGCCATTAGATCCTGCTGCTGTCAATCAAAGCCAGTGACAAGGAAGCAAGGGGTGGGGCTGAGCCCCACTGTCTGTGTCTATAGATGCAGGCAGCGAGGCTCGGGAGCACTAGTGCCCCCATAGGAAGCAGGGAAATGGCCAGGGAGGAGGAGCCAGAAGCGGGGGATCTGAGAAAAAGAGGTTTAGAGCCGCTCTGTGTAATCCTCCCTCCTAGCTCATCCCCCTAATCCCCTCTCCTAGCACAAATTCCCCCCCAATCCCCCTCAGCACCACTCCTTTCCTTCAATCCCACACTGTCTGTGTCTATAGATGCAGGCAGCGAAGCTCGGGAGCACTAGTGCCCCCATAGGAAGCAGGGAAATGGCCAGGGTGGAGGAGCCAGAAGCGGGGGACCCGAGAAAAAAAGGTTCAGAGCCGCTCTGTGTAATCCTCCCTCCTAGCTCATCCCCCTTAATCCCCTCTCCTAGCTCCACCTAGGACAAATTTATCCAAATCCCTCCTCTAGCTAAAACTCCTCTAAATTACCTTTCTCAGCATAAAATCCTCTCACCTTACCCAAATCCCCCCCCCACCCCCTTTGGCATAAATCAGCAGCACAAATCAGCGGCCATGCACAGTGTCCAGACTAGCTTGGGGGGGGGTTGGAACAACTAAAATCTGGGGGAGGGGCGTAGCCTGCCCAGCATCTCCCTAGATTTGGCCATGGTTGAGGGTAGGAAACCCAGCAGCCATGGCTGCGCCCTAGGCAGGGGAGCTCCCTAGTTCACATAGTGGTAGCACCGGCCCTGCTTACGGCATGGCATAAGGAATGAGGCATTGCAGAATTAGAAAAGTACAGCAT